AGAAGGCTGGCTGCTCCTTTCGGCTTCACGGGATTCGTTTCCACGGTGCGCAAAAGTGCCTCAGCCGCGGGCAGCCGCAGTGCTTCCCAATTACTATTTGCCGGCGTATAAGACGACCCGGCATATAAGACGACCCCCCCAATTGGAGGCATCTTTTTCAGGGCAAAAAAGTCATCTTATACGCCGGCAAATACGGTATGGAAATGATATTTATGGAAGTGATTTTATGTTTGTTGGATCTAATGATAAAAAAATCGAGTTTGTATTTTCTGTTTTTGAGTTTGTTTTTAACTTTTTCTTTTCTAATAATTCATTTTTATTGTATTTTGCAAAAGTATTTGTCTATGACAGATTAGAAATTAAGCAAAAAAAAACCTGGTCTTTATATAGTTTCAGAAGTGCTACTCTAGCACATTGTTGCTGAATATATTAATGAGCAACTGTAGAACATAGCACAACAGTTTTTCAGTAATTTTCTTTTTTTGAGAAAGCAACTCCCGTATAATAAAAGAAACACAAGGATCAATTAATTAAATCCTCTCTTAAATTAAATTATCTCTTTTCCATCCAGACATGACTTCTCACATTCATAGCCAAAAATCTTTTTTTTTTCTTCCGGCATCTATATAGGCAATAATATCTTTGTGTTACAAGAAAAAATGTTTTTTACTCAAACTCATTAATTCATATTTAATTAATTCATATTTGGACTGAAAAAGGACTCCTTCCTTCCTTCCTTCCTTCCTTCCTTCCTTCCTTCCTTCCTTCCTTCCTGATTTTAAAGAAACATTAAATGAATTAAGTGGATTTTGGAATTGAGCATATTGTAAACAAATCTGACAGAGTCAAAATAGTATTTAGCCAGGAGATGGCAGCAAACTCACACGTTTCAGAAATAATCGTTTTGTTTTTTTTAAATGACCATGGTTATAACTGAGACATTTTCTTTTTCCATTCACAATATATCTAAAAAATAGTGACCAGATTTGAATAAATGTATCCTTCGTTGGTAGTTTTTCAATGCTTTTTGTGGAAAGATTTGTTTTTTTTTATTCAGAACATATTTATCCACATATTTAAATACCAATGATTCAATAAAAATGTATTTGAATTTCCCAGAGTCCTTGCGATAAAACAAACCTGATAAAGTAACATCAGGAGGTTACTCACTTTCTTATTTAGTTTATTTAGTTTATTTATATATCAAATTTGGAGACCATTCATCCCCCTCGCACACACAGTGACTCTGTGGGGTGTACAATTAAAATGTAAAAACCAAATGAATAATTATATTGCAGTAGGGCTTTCAAAGCGCTAATCAATCCCAAGGTTGCATACTCCTCTGCAAATAACAGAATAGGAAGGGACTTTGGAGGCTTTCTAATCCAACCCACTGCTCGAACAGGAAACGCTACCATTTTAGACAAATGGTTGTCCAACCTCTTCTTAAAACTTCCAGTATTGGAGCACCTACAACTTCTGAAGGCAAGTCAGTGATTAGTTAAACTACTGATTAATTCTTCTAACTGTCAGAAAAGTTCTCCTTAGTTCTAGCTTGGATCTGTCCTTGATTGGTTTCCACCCCTTGCTTCCTGCCCTGCCTTCAAGTGCTTTGGAGAATGGGTTGGTCTCTTCTTTGTGGCAGTCCCTTAAATATTGGGACGCTGCTATCATGTCATTCCCTAGCCCTTCTTTTCGTTAAACTAGACAATTCCTGCAACTGTTCTTCGTATGTTTTAGCCTCCAGTCCCATAATCATCTATGTTGCTCTTCTCTGTACTCTTTACATCTTTTTTTATATTGTGGCGACCAAAATTGGATGCAATATTCCAAGCTGCCCAACAAGTCAGTAGAGCCAGGACTTCAGACATTTCCAGGAGTCCAGGAGAGTAAGAAGGGTTCTGTTCCTGGACCTTACCAGTCAATATTCTTTAACTGATGGAGTCCGTAAGAAACCCTCCCTGTCTGACTGGGTGGGACAGGCCAATGTACTGAGAAAAAGGTTCCATGCCATGTAGGGTTTTAAAGGTCATAACCAGAGGTGGTATTCAGCAGGTTCTGACCAGTTCTAGAGAACCGGTAGCGGAAATTTTGAGTAGTTCGGAGAACCGCAAATACCACCTCTGACTGGCCCCGTCCCCATCTATTCTCTGCCTCCCGAGTCCCAGTTGATTGGGTCTTCTTTTGTTGCCCTGCCCAGGAGAACAGAGCTGGAAAGCAGGTTAGTGGGGTGCGGAAAGAATGGGATTTTGCAGTATCCTTCCCCTGCCACGCCCACCGAGCCACGCCTACAGAACCAGTAGTAAAAAAAATTTAATCTCATCACTGATCATAACCAACACCTTGAAGTCAACCCAGAAGCAAACTGGCACCCAATGCAGCTCATACAGCAAAGGTGCTACATGCGCCAACCTTAGGGCACTCAAGATTGCTTAGTTTTTGATACCAGCTGAAGCTTCCAGATACTTTTAAAGGATAGCCCAATGTAGAGTGGTTTGCAACTGATACCATTATTCTGTACCAATGTGTGTGCCTTAGAAATTATGGACTTTAGACGGTTATATTTTGACTATAAAAGATCACCTCAATGAGCAAAAAGTGATTGTGTTGAGTGCATGGATGCTATTTATTTGACAAAAATGATTTCTGTTTATTAATTTCTGAGACACACACAAGTATGCATTTGTGCCAGTTTCTAGGCATGGCAGTGATATTTACACAATCCACCCAGTGTGTGGCACCAGGGGAATAAAAAAATAGCCCAGTTTATCCAGGAGAAACCACAACTCGCAAGCACAGAAGGGGCAGCGTTTTGTATAGGTGAAATGTCCTGGGTCAAATCCTTGGGTACAGGCTGGCACAAGTATGAGACTGTATCTGTTTCTCCTACTTGGGGATCTGGTTTGTTTGGTCTCTCGTTAAATTTACTTTAAAATTGTGGTTGGAAAAATCGACTGGAATTAGAATGTTATGGAGTTCAGATTCTTCTTAAAACCAGCTGAAAAGAAGCCAGCCATGAAAATACAATCCAAAGTAATTATGGTGTGAAAAGTAGAATTTACTGTGCCAGAAAAAGGCCAAGAACTTGAAATGAGAGTAATGAAATGTGGAAAATGGAATAAAAGATCACAAAATCAGTATGGCCTATACAGTTTTGAAGAACTCCATCCCCCAAGGAATGTCAACTATTTCCATTGTTAAATTCAATTTATACATCCTAGAAAGAAAAAGAAAAAACTCTTCTACCAAGGGAAGACCATTTAAGCACATAAAAGCAAATTAATGTTTCCAATTGGCCTTTCCAGAATGTGGACATCATCAGGAGATCCAGAAATAGGACCTGATGGCAGATGGGCTTTTCAAACGCAACGATTAGTTGACACAATTACAAGATTTTTGGCATAAGGAAATTAGTTACTTCCATATGTATACTATCTCAACAATTTAATCTGAGATATATAAATTCTTGGTTTGGAAAGATTAGAATTAAATTGGGGGGAAGAGAGAGGTTTTAGAAAACCCACAGAGTAGTCTGAAAAATGGAGTGTATGTGTTCTAAAGGATTAGGAATCACTGTAGAAAGTTTGTTCTTAGATTAAGCACAGCTTTCTTAACTGCAGTGAAAAAGAAAAAAAGAGGAATGAAGCTAACAGTCTGGGGTATAATGTGGTATATTGAAACTTAAGAACCATGATGGCGCAGTTAAGAGCCCTAGTGGTACAATGGTCAAAATTCAGTATTGCAGGCTAATTCTGCTGACTGCCAGCTGCTGGCAGTTCGATTCTCACCGGCTCAAGGTTGACTCAGCCTTCCATCCTTCTGAGGTAAAATGAGGACCCAGATTGTTGGGGGCAATATGCTGACTCTCTAAACTGCTTAGAGAGGGCTGAAAAGCACTTGAAGCGGCATATAAGTCAACGTGCTATTGCTATTGCTAGGGTATCTGCCCTGTGGACTTGTGGACTTCAGCTCTCAAAATTCCCCAGCCAGCATGACTTTTCCCTACAAGAGCAACCCCAAAAGACAGAAAAAAAATGACTGATCTAAGGTCAACAGAGAGATGTTGTCTCCTCTTTTCCCTAATCTTTTGGGAAAGATTGGGAGCGGGATAGCTCACCAATTAAAGATGTTGAGCTTATCAGCTGGAAAGCTGACTGCCTGGGTTCGAGACCTGAGTGCTGCAAGACAGGGTGAACTCCTCTTACTTGCCCCAGCTCTTGCCCACCTAGCAGTTCTAAAACATGGAGATGCAAGTAGATAAATAGGTACCACTTCAATGGGAAGGTAACAGTGTTCTGTACCCCTTTAGCTTTTAGTCATGCTAGCCATATGATCACTGAAGTGTCTTTGGACAATGCTGGCTCCCTTGGCTAAGAAACAAGACAAGTACTACCCCTTAAGAGTCAGACATGATTGTACAGGGGAAACTTTTACCTTTACCTGGGATAAATTAAAATTTCTGCATATGCCATGCCTCATTTCTAGCTTCGAATTCTTTTACCATCCTAGAACATGGCTCAACCAAGATCCCAAACACACAAATTCACAGGCCATGTCATTTTGTTATGACTGTCCTCTACATAAATGCTATTATAGAAAAGAAGAACAACTGGTTGAAGAAAGGAGAAGGAATGCAGTACCCATCTTGGCCTGCTGCATTAGATTAGAGGAGGGGAGGAGAGATGATTAAGACCAAACTATATGTTATACTACACACCAATGTGTGCCATGGATTTATGTTCTAAATGAAAAGCAGCCTTAGAGGAATGCAGTTTTAAGTATATGTGTGTGTTTAGGGACGGATTCAATTCTTTCTCTCACGAACTGTTCTGGGGCTCACAATAGTCTGTGAATTGTTTTCCCTTTTAGAGGATACCAGAAGAGCATTCACAAGCAAGTTTAAGCATCTGGAACCCCCAAAGATAAAAAATAATAGCTGGAAGGAAAAATCACAGTGAAAAAATAGATGCATAAATTCCACAGGCTGCTGACCAGATCTTTGTTTGTTTGTTTTTTGCTTATTTATTTAAATAAAAAAGGCCCACTGAGGCTTCATTGTACACATTTGTGCCACATATAGTTTGACTCCTTCTGTACATCCCTTGTTCTTCTTTAGCTGACCCCATTCCAAGCTTCTAAGAATGGTTGAGGAATTCTGTCTTCTGCGTCCCACACTGATGGCAGTGTGTCTTATCTTCCTTTCCTTTGGCTGAACCAGCTTCTGGCAGGTCAGTTCTCAACATCCTTCCCTCCTCCAAGCGTTTCAGCTCCCATCTTAACCAGGACCAGAGACACTGAACTGCAGTCTCGGATAGGTTGATGAGACCAGGAACTTGATAAGACTTTGTCCTGATACCTGCCTTTGATGGGTTGCCATTTCCTGATTTGTAGGAAGTCTTTAATACAAAACTGTATAGTGGGATTGTGGGAAATGAAATAGCAGGTTTCCAGGGAAGGACTCAATGCTGCCATTTTCATAGGTAAACTAAATAGAAATCTACAAATATGCCAATGGTCACAACAGGCTAATTTTGATGCCCCCCTCAAACCTTGCACAACCCAACACAACTGCCCGCTTTGCAGATTGGAATCCACCTATGAAATCTCCGAGATCCTTCCAAATATATCGTTCACAACTAATGAAAATTTCTGGTGTTCTTGGCTTCCAAAACCTAAATTGGCAATGACAGCCATGCCAGAATACTTTGAATTAATCGTCTGTCATGGTCACCAACTTCACAGGATTATTCTGAAGATCAAAGAGGATAAGATGACCATCTAGCCATTTTAATTACTCTTGAAATAGAACAGAGCAAGAATTCTGTAGATCTAGTTGAGCTTCTGTCAACATGAGTTGTTCCAGTTATAAGTCATAAATTTCCCTACTGCATAAGAACTGCCAAAGTGTTTTTATCAGATGACTGATCATATATATTATTCTCCTTTATTCCCGTCCATTTTAAAGTAGTGCCTTGTCTGTGCATTTTTGTTGTAATCTATTTTTCTGAATAAAAACTCTTCTCCCCAACCCCACCACTGGGAAAAAAAAAACCAGCATTTTAAATTAACAAAGGAGCAATAAAAATAAAGGGAAGAAAATATTTCTTTATTGGAAAACATCTGTTTGTCTTTAATGTGGTTATAAAAATTTGCAAGGCATCACTAAGCAATGCCTTCTGCATTTACAATTCCACTTTATTTTCCATCCATCTATAGGACTTCGGGAATTCTGCTGCAAATACCACAACTGTGTTTGTAGATGAAGTTTGTTTTCACTCTGACCTAAATTTCAGCAAGAATTAGAAAACCAAATTAAAGAAAAGCATCTACAGAATGGCACATCTGTTGAGGCTGCTTGAGGACATTTGCATGATAAATGTTTACATTTTTGGACATGGGAATTCTGCAGTGAAACTGGATGTCTACCTCTGCGTGCCAGTGCCCAGCATGTTTTCTCAGCTTATGGCTGTTAGATTGTTGTCTTCAAACTCTGAATAAAGCAAAAGTTCAGTCTTGTTTGTTCAAGGGGGCACAGAATGCATGTCAACAGTAGAACCACTTTAAGCATTTCTTATGTGGTCACTCGTACTGAGAAGATTACCAGGAGGCAAACCATACAATTTCAAATTTTGTTTTGCCGGGTTTCACCTAAAATTCACATCATGAGACCTATAAAACAACTAAAAGACAAGGAACAAGCCATCTGTTTACATGTTCCTTCTTGAATCAGCAGCGATTTGATCCACCTTTGTTCCATTCTTATTTTCATTTATGTAAATATTTTTAATATCTTTTTGTATCACAAAGTTAAACATTAAAATACAAACTAACATAAAAGGGAAAAGGAGGAGGAAATAACAAAACAAATTTAAAGGGACCAAAAAAGTAATCAACAAACAAATTTATAACATTATAAAGTTGAGCTCCAACTTTCTTTTGGTCCAGAGATAATGACAATTCAACAACTTCTCTCTAAATTTAAGCAAATAATGCCAATATCTTAAAATCTTAATAATCAACTTTCTAAAATGCCACAATGTCATGGAATCATCAAAGTTGTGCTTCTTAAAATCAATGAAGAAAGATGTCCTAAGTTAGTAAGCCTTCTATTTTTGGTAAGTCTTTACTGCTTACTATGGTATAATGGGAATTGCAGTATCATGACATGCATGATCAAATTCTTATGTTAGATGATAGCAATACATGTTATTCATGTTAGATTGTAGTCACCATATTATACAATGTATAAGAGATGAAATTCTTCAGATTCCAGGTATTGTTTTCTTATACGTTTCTTCTGCTATTCTGATCTTTTAATCTGTCTCAGGCCTAACATTGATTGCCCAACTCATTTAATGGTTGTAACCATTCATTTCATAGCCATTTAAATCCTAAAATCCTCTGGTGCTTAGCCAAACCTCGGCAAGATCTGATCCAGATAAATCCCAGAATTTTCTACAGAGACTAGATGCCTGGGAATTCAATCATTAGATAATGTGATCCCCAGAAGG